TGCCTCAGAAGGCAGGGTGCTTGCATCTCAGTTTAGACGCAGTTTCGGGATGACTGCTCCTCTCCTCCACGGACAAGCAACCCATGCACCTCAGCGCCCCGCAACGCAATGCGTCCCTGCTTGTATGTGTCAGAGCATGCTATCTATTGTGCTCGAGCCAATCATCTGGCCGGCGACGGGATAGGGAGCTATGTTTGCATGTGTTTGTCGGAAAATTTCTGTTTGGCCTTTCGGGTTGAGTTGGGAGAGGGCAGGTCCATGCAGGTCCGAACGTCCCCCTCACATCCCCCACTCGCTGGATGTCGTGAGAGGCCAGTGGGGCCAGTGGGGCCAGCATGCAGGCTATCTGATGTCAGGGGGCGGTGAGGCTCAGAGCAGCCGCCGAGCGAACCGGCATCACTCACAACAGTCACAACAGAACCAAGTGCGCCGCAATGGCGTGGCCCACCCCTGCTTGCAAAGGTAGTGTGAATAGCGTGAAGATCGCTGATGAGCGATGCTGCCCATCGCCGCGGTGGGGCGTCGATTCTCCGATGTTTTCTGCCAGTTTGCAGCAGGTGCTCTGCCGAACTCTTCATAGCCGTCAAGGCCACCCTTGCTTTTCAGTGGCACAGACCTTGGCGAAGGCCTGGCCATGTGTCCAGCGAGGCATGTGTCCTAATGCAGGCTCAGGTCGTTTCTGGTTTCTTGCTCTGCCAGACCTGGGAGTTTTCTCGAAGCTGCCGCGGGATTCGCAGGAAAGGACGAGACGCATGAGTCAGGTTTTTTACAGACAAGTTCTCAAGCTGGGGTCGGACACCCTCTGTCAAGTTTGAAGAGGAGCCATTGTCGGGAGACAGGGTTTTGGTTTGGCCATGAGATGCCAACGTGCAGCTTTGCGCATGTCGCTTCGCTTCTTCCGTTGTTCAGCTGGTTGCGCCGCCCTCTACTTTGCAGCGCCCGTGCTGTGGGATCTTCAGCTTGCGCGCAATATCACGGCTCAGACCCTGGCGGGCCATTCTGAGACTGTCTGCGTGAGTAGCTGGGTACCTGCTGCTCGGTGGAAAGCTTGAGCCGTGCGCTGAAGGACCTTCATCGCCTGATTTGCCTTGTGCAGTCGGCCATGCCTTCATACGCCTTCCCTGCTACGGAGCCGGAACCTGCAGTAGCGCCGTACGATGCCAGCTCTACAAGAATCTTGTCTGCTGCAATCACCATCAACTTCCTGGGACGCACGCGATGAAGGGAGGTGGGATTGGAGCCACAGTCAGCTTGGGCCCTGGCCACCTTCCAGTCCTCCTGCCCCTTGAGCATGGATTTGAGACTGTGCCACTATGAGCACAGCCCCTAGTCCCTGATTTTCATGAGTTTTGGCCATGCCCGCAACATCCAAGCTGCGGCTCGGGGTCGGTTGGATAGAACATCCATCTGGCCCGGCCCCGGGTTCCGAGCTGAGAACGGGGGTCTGCCAGAAGAGGTGGAACAGGTCGGCTGCAGGGCTGAGTCCGGTCTTTCTGCCTGCTCCAGCTGCCCCGCGCAGCAGCCTCGGCTCGGGGCATCGTCCATCGGGCACGCCCGATCCTGTGGCAGCGCAACGCCCTCCCCACACCACGCGCCAGCAGCACGGTGTAGTCTTAACTTAGACATCATTGGAGTGGCGCGCCACAAGCACGTGCCCTTGCTACCTGACTCATTCGCCAATTTGTGTCGCAAAAGGTTGGATGCCCCCACGCGTGCTTGCGCTGTCGGGAGCTGAGGCCCTAGGAGCCCTGGGAGGCCGTGTTGTGAGGTGCAGGTTGGATATGCAGAGGCCAGTGAAGGGTGGCTTTCGCTTTGGCTGGTGCAAATTCATGGCAGATGGTCTCGGTCGCGCTGATCGCCGCAAATCAAATCCATCGTCCGCAAGATGCCCGAGACCTTGCAAGCAGTCCTCACCTACGTGCATCGGCGGGACTTCCGTTGCCCAGCCGACCAGCACACGCAGGCACGCACAGAACTTCACACTCTTGACTGTTTGCCTTGAACCTGCGTGCACATGGGGTTTGGCGTTCAGCGTTGTGCCTTTTGTCACATGGGCTGCTTTTTTGTAAGGCCGAGTGCCAAGGCGGTGCCTTTTCACACATGTTGTGCCAAACACACACCTCCCAAGTAGCCGCTCCTTAACAACCGTGGCCATCGCCCCAGCGAGGCGGTGAAGGACGGCTCGCATTGCCACGCTGCTCTACCGTTCATGTCCCCATCTGGAAGGCCCTCTTCGACTTTCAGCACCTCATGAAGCGGCTGCCGCCTCTTGGCGCGTCTCGAGCGTCGTCACAGGTGTGAATTCAGCTGTCAGAACAAGCCTGCGGCGTGGACACAGCTTGCATGGTTTCACAGAGAGGAGGATCGCCAGTGGAAGTCTCCTCATCGTGGTCTGGCGTGGGTTTGCCCCGCATCTCCTGTGCCCCCAGCTTCCACGCAGCCCTTTGTCGTGAACGTCGGCACATGTGTCGGAGCTGCACGTCCGACATCCTTCGCGTGCCGCGCTGTCAGGAAGCTCTTGCCTGGCAGCCCAGGGCAGTAATGATCCGCCCTGGGCAAACGCGGCTGCAGGGAAGCCTTTCTGACCTTTCGCCAGGCATCGTGACCTTGTCCGTCAAATCCAGGGCAAATCTCATGCCTGGCAACTCCGTAGACTCAAGGTGATCTGTGGATGAGACCTTTCCAGGCTCGATTCTTGAAGGATCCCCCACGACCACACATATCAAGAATAGCCTGGAGCTAGCCGACGGGCGCTAGGGCCGCTAGGGGTGCCTGAGGCTCGTGGGAATCCTCACATGGCCTGGCTTGGGAGCCGTTAAGGGTTTCAAGTCTGGACTCATATGGGGCAACCGGATCGCGGGAGATGGAGGACTCTGGTCTGCTTGTGGCTATACCGTAGCCGAAAGATGAGAGAGCACGAAGGAGACGAAGGCCAAAACGCAGTGGAATCTGGCGCTTCCTTCTGCGCGTTTCTCGAAAAGCTGGCAACTGCAGATGCCACGTGCTCAACATGTACTGAACGGAGGTGACGCACAGCGCGAACCTTGGCAGAGCGTGCCGGTGCTGCACAGGAGGAACCAGCAGACGGGATTGTAGCAGGTCCGCGCCGCAGCTCACCATGTGAGCAGCTGGAGCATGCCCTCTGCACGGCCGAAACCGCGCTAAGGCCGGCGGCGTGGGTGGGACTCTGTGCACGGACCAAACGATGGTGCGACATGGAAAGCTTTCTGCTTCCGGCTTCGGTCCATCGGCGTCATGCAGGGGACTGCGGAAGAAAGCGGGACATCATCCCTAAAACAGCGTCCGCAAGGTGACATCGAAGGCAACGTAACGGAACCGGACAAGGCAAACAGGCAAGAGAGCGGCGTGCGCTTTTTTCAGCCTTTCACGAGCCTTCCAGTGGTCCACCCCAGAATGGGAACGAGTCGCAACCCACGCAGCTGGTCAGGGTACCGGGCAGCTTGTCTTGAAGACATGATCCATGATCACTGGCCCGGCAGATCCGATAGCTGGCCGGTGGTTAGCATTGTTTGGGTTGCCAGTGGTCGGTGATGAAACTTTTAAGGGCCCGGCGATCGAAAGGCGGAACAAGAATCGACAGGCCTTCGGCCAAAATGTGGAAGAGTTAGGGGAGGCAAAAACGTTCCAACCTTTGAGCCGTTGGGTTGAATATTCAAACGCTTGTCCACGAATCTTGGGGTCCTCTCGTGGTAGGGTTGCTCGTAACCATAACTACATCCTGCTTGAGACGAGAATCGTTGGCATGGCGGATGTCAATTAGTCTTTAACTTTGGTCCCAAGTTATCGGGCAAGTGCAGAAAGGCGTGGCTTGTCGCCTGCAGGCCATGTGGGCTGTGCAGGCCGCGAGGGAGGTTCATGTTGGCGAGATAGCGCCTAATCTCGTAGCATATAGTCACCCACCCGAGTGCTTGCGACGTTCTGCCTCTTCGCCGGCCAGTCTTCTGGCCTGCAACGAAAGCCTCTTTGAGGCGGTGCACATGCTGCTAGGTGCGCGCACGTTGGGATCAGTCTCATCGTCGGCTAGACATTCCCTGGTGGCAGTCGATTCTCTTGATGCTTCGGATGCTCTGTTGCTACTCAATTCTGCCAAGCAGCTCCCGTCACTCGATGGCTCTGTGCCACCCTAGACTCTAAGTTGAAGATTTGTGCTGCTGGGATAAGGGCTCGAGGCCCCATGCTTCGTGGACTTGCAGCGACGTCGCCGACGACGATGCTAAGCTCACTGCGTTTTTCCACTCCTTCGGTACCCTGTCGCTTTCACCTGCATTTTCATCAAAGGTGTCAGACCCATGTGCGGGATCACACGAGGGCATCTTGCTCACACGCAGCGTGATTGTTTGTCGGTTGCTCTTGGCCCCGTCCTCAGAAGCAAGGCCAGGATGGTTTTGCGGTTCCGGACTCTGTTGTTCTGCAAGATCTGCACGCTTGTGCCCTGCCCGAACCCACGTCGCATCAGCAGCTGTAGGGGCTGCAGCTGCGCGCGTGCTTGTGTTGTTCGGCGGGGCTGGTGTTGCCAGCCCACGTCTGCGGCTTCTTCCGCAGAATGCCCCGAAGGCTCCGTGCGTTATTGGGGCGAGGCCCGTTCGCAGGGTTTGCGTTCTGCCGCGATTCAAAGCATCAGGCACGACCTTTTTCTTGCATCAACCATAGGGATCAGTTTGGATGCAGCAGTTTGCGGACACTTTGTGCACCAACAACCATGGCTGCACCAGGAGGCGTCAGCTGTGAGCCGGCTGCACACTCCGACATCGTTAGAAGGTCCTTGCTCCCAGCTTGAGGTCCGTGGAGCCTGCGGCTACGAGGCGCTGCCGATGCCCCCGGTGGCGCGGAGTTGCGAGCTCGACCTGCCGTGCGACTCCGACATGAGTCGCACGTGAGCTTCCGTGAGATTCCTTCTCCATGTTGTCAAATGCGGCAGCCCTCCGAATGCCTTTGCCGCGTGCCTGGGCAGGGCATGTGCTTGGGACTGTAGCAGCCCCCTACAGAGCTTCGAAATGGCGATGGCCAAGCGCCACCAAACAAAGCCTTGGCACTGCCTCGATGCGCCACTGATCGGAGTGATCGGGCTGCTGGCAGCTCCGTGGGCTTCTTGCCCGCGTGCAAGCCGGGCCTGTGAGTTCGGTGGAATCTTTTTGTGTGAGCCTCGGCAAGAAGGCTCCCGCTTTCCAGGCTACCGTGTAGACCATGCCAGAGAATATGGCAACTTTCGACATCTGCGACCCAAAAGGCCCGAAAGCAGAAGCTTCCGAGCACGTGCGCTTCTCCGGGCTTGTTCCTGCACCTTTCTGCATGGTGCCGGCGGCGGCACTCGGCTGGCCCTGCCGCAGACGGACGTGTCCATTTGCTGACACGCGGGCTTGGCGACCTGGTTATTCGCCCGGGCGCTGAGCCGAGCTGATGCTGAAAAGTCCCATCGCGGCACCGCATCATCCGCACCATCCGCATCGCGTCACGCAGGTGCTGCAGGGGAAGCGGGCTTCGTGGTTGTGGCTTGCCAGTGGACCGCAAGCCTCGCGAGCCGAATGTCTGCTACCGCCAGCTTCGAAGAAAGCCGGCGAAGGCTCCAAAGAACTTCACGAGTCTTTCAGCGCAAGGCCTCCAGCACAGCAGGCACGCCCGCTGCGTTCCTCGGCGCGCCTTGGCGGTGCCACGCGACAAGTTCCGCGTGCCAGGCACGCGGCCCGGGTGCGCAGGTTGAGCAGGTGATCCTACGGTGCCGCAATGTGCCGCAAAAACTGCAGCTCTTACAGTCTGCTCAGCATTGCGGACGGGTGTGTTCCATGTGTTCGATATGTGTTGGAGTGAGTGCCGGCCACCCAGTCCACACCGTGGGATGTGGGCATTGCCTAAGGCAGTGCTTACTGTAGGCGTTGCTCCCGCAGCTTTGCGTAAGCCGGCCTCGTCCTACGCAGTTCGCAGAAGGAGATCCTTGTGTGGAGAGGCGTAGTGCGCCCCTGCCGCACCTTTTCCTGCGGCCTGCACACGGCCGCCTCGCGCACCGGATAGAGTCGAGCGGTGGACTCCACCTGTGACTCGGGCAGCTTGCGCGAGCGTCACCGCGCTCTTTTCCAGGTGCCTCGTGTGCTGCTCACGCAAGGGCTCGCAAAAGGTGCTTGTTACTGGAAAATAAAGCCCTATCGAAAGCGTGCTGACACATGCCATGCGGGCCGTCCAGATTGCCGGATGATGCGCAACCTTGGCACTCACGGATGGTCTTGCGGCGAGGGCCGCCGCGCCAGCCTCAGTGCGGGCGCCCAGAGGCTTCCGGATCCTACCGTAGCCGCAGTAGCCGCTCAGTAGCCTGGCCCCGCTGTCTCATCTGCTCTCCGTGCTCGCGCTGCGGGATGCTGCGGGCGCTGCCTGCGGTGACCCAGCGACGGGCTCGGAGGCGCCCGTGTTTTCTGCTTTGCGCATGCCTGGGGCATGCGCAAAGTCACAATATGCGTTCCCATCAAACTGGGCAAAAGCTCGCGTAAGTGGCAAGCAACGGGTTTGGCCAGCAGTTTCCGCGTAAGCTCGCGTAAGCAAGCATGCCAACAACCACGCGCCGCGTAAGCTGCCGTCCAGCGCGCGTAAGTAAAACGGACGCGCCGCCGAAGTTCCGGAGTTTCCGAAAAGAGTCTACGATGGGTTTTTGAAGGGAACTCACAAAACCGACATAGCATGAAGCGCTGCCTGAAGAGAGAGACACATGGAGATTGCCCTACAGAACTAGTGACTACTGACTACTGGGTGAGAGTCGAAAGGAGTGTACCTGCCTCTGCTCTGGCGAGGAGCTTGCCTGCAAGCTTCTCAGGCTGTCATTGATGAGACTCTCAGGCATCCCTGTGCCGTGTGTCGGATCTAATCTGCGTGAACGGCTTGAGGGGGCTCAGTTGAAGCTAAGGCCGAGAAGCCAGGCCTGCTTTCGTGCACTTCACATCGTGCGCCTGAGCGTGAGGCTCCGAAAGCTCCGCGTGCGCCACGCTCGGTACGCGGCGTGCACCTCTGGGCTTGTTCTGACCTTGTGGTGAAGTGCTGTCGCTGAGGATCCATTCTGGCTGCTGTGGATGGCACGTTTGCCTTGCAGGTAGGCTGCTCGGTCAGCACCGCAGGCTGCCTCACAAAGCAAAGGTCTCGCTTCCCATACGCAAAGGTACTTCGCCCTGCCACATCCGTGCACCTTCCAGCGCGATGAGGAAGTCTCGGCATCGAACAAAAACCAGCAGTGGTTTCCGGATGCCCTTCGCTGCACCGCCCCACTTCGCGCGTGCCTATGTCTAGACGCCAACTCAAGTTGTCTCGGTCGGTTGGCTGTCTGAGGAAGCAGGGCGTTCCCAGCAGGTCTTCGGCCATGCTCGCGAGAAGCATGTCACACCTCACGGACGACAGCTCCTGATGCTTACACAAGAGAGAAGGTGGAAACGGTTCGTGCCGCGGTGCACCACAGAAAACGATTTGGGTCAAGTGGGGTTCCATTCCCGAGAGACTGCGCGACGAAGCTTCAGCTCTGCGTGCTTTGGTTGTTTTACTGTTGCGGCCGCCGCTCTTCCGGCGGCCCGAGACAGGGCAACCAGGTTTGGTGCCATGTTCCGCCAGCCGGCAAACGATGGCCAGATTGCATGGCGTGCCATCGACAAGATACAGGACACGGCATGCCAGTGCGGCGAGCACTGCCGAAGCCAAGCTTCCAGAAGCATTCGTGCAAGCAATGTGGCGATCCACATGCGACATCCAAGGCCGTTGTGCGCTAGGCGCATGGTCGCAGTGTGCCCTACCGTTGCCAACGTTGTAGCCTGCAGAGGCCTTGGATCCCTTGCTGTCGGGCGAGGGATGCTCTTGGCCTTGTGGACCTTACAGTTGCAGGCACTTGCAGGCCCGGCCGGCTGCCCAGGCTGAACGCTGGAGCGCAGCTCAGGTGCTTGGCGGCCGGAGGAACTCGCGGTGCTCTGGGCCACAAGATGTAATGTTACAAGGACACGCGGCTCACACAGAAACGCCGCTTGTGCAGTTTCTCTCTTGACGTCACTCGCCTGGACGCACCCAAAGGCGGTTGCAGCGGTACCAGTGCTTGATATGGCGTACGTCTCGAGCCATTTCCAGCCTCCTCCTTTTGTGGCGGCCCTGCCAGCCTCTTGCGCTTCTCACCGATGCTCAACTCAGCTTGTGCAGCAAGGTTTCGCTGTCATGCCTCGTCGTGTGCCCTGGCAAGCGGCAAGGCTGGTGGCAGTCCGGTGGCTAGACCAGCGCTATTGAGGTTTGCAAAAAGGACACCAGGTAGTGCAGTTGTTTGCAGGGTGATCAGGGTCGCATGAGGAGCCCTTTTTCTCCGGACGGGTTTTGTCAGGTTTTCGTCGGGTTTTGTCAGGCTCGATGAAAGAAACCCAAACAAAGAATATCTGGAGGTTTAGCTCTGAAACGTCCCGAAGAGGCATTGCAAGAAAAAACCATGTCGGCATACAAATTTGCGAGTGACTCTCTGTTTGTGTGTGTGTGTGTGTCAAACCCTGTACCAAAGGGCATCTGTTTCGCACTTGTATAACGGCCCCCCCCTTAAAAATCTGGCAATGGGGGGGGGGGGGGGTAACCCCCAGCGCCGCCTATTTCCGGGGCTGCGCGCCGCTTATTTTGCAACAGTGGGGGGGGGGGGGGTAGAAAAATAAGCGGGGAATTATCGGTTAACTTAAGTTATGGGGCTGCCTGGCATGTTAAACAAACAGCATGGGATGTAGAGCCCAACTCATTCCTTTCGACGAGGAGTTTAGAGGATAGGGGCTGAAAGCTTAATTAAGGGGTTCCAGGTTTGGGTTCGGTTGAAGGGTTGGTGTCTTGAGGATGTAAAGAGGTTGAGTCTTTGGGCTTCAGGGTCCAGGGCTGGTTTGGTGAAGGATCAGTTCCTAAATTGTCCTGCGTAGCTGTGCACATAACTTAGTCATGCGTTTGTTTTCCTATGTTCAAACTAGATTCGCAAACACAGGCATAGCATTGTTCCCTCGGCCTAACACAGATTATGAAGGGCGCTTTACAGGAGTCTCGCAATCTTGGGAGGGGTAGAGGGCAAGTGAGAAATAGGCACGCAGGGCATGCTTTGCACTCCTTTACAGATCGGTCTCTGACTCTAGGACTCCACCGGCTGGAAACAGGTGGCGGGGGGGGGGGTTGCGGTGGGTCCTAAAGGGCAAGGCCTGTTGCACGCTACAGTCCCCCCCCCTCCTTCCCGCTTATTTCTTTTTTGTCCTATGGGTCCCACAAAGGTCCCACAGACAGCCAGAAATAGGCGGCGAGCCGGGGCTCTGGGGGGGCAGGGCCTCTTGCGCGCTACAGTCCCCCCCCCGCCTTCCCGCTTATTTCTGGGGTGTTCCCGATCCCATAGGGGTCCCACAGACAGCCAGAAATGCCAGAAACAGGCGGCGAGGGCGGGGGTTTGGGGTGGGTCATAAAGGGCAGGGCCTCTTGCGCGCCACAGTGCCCCCCTCCTTCCCGCTTATTTTTGGGGCGTTCCCGGTCCCAGGGTCCCACAGACAGCCAGGAAACATCCTAACAGTCGCACAACACGTCCCACAGACAGCCAGACAGGGACTCTTGCACGCTACAGTTAGTCCCCTTCCCCCGCCCTCTGCAGGTGGGATAAAGGCTTCCCACGCGCATGCCAAATGGGCGGGGAAGGCGAGGGGGTTTTGGGGCGGATAGGCACAGCCCACATGTGACAGCTCGCCCTCTTGTGTCTGTTCCGGAACCTGCTGCAACACGATGGCGGGTGAAACTCATTGAGGTCTTTCGAATTTCGCCCGCCGTCGTGTTGTAGGTTCAGGAACAGACACAACAAAGGACAAACTGTCACATGTGGGCTGTGCCTAGCCAGTTTGGGCGAGCAACACTCCCGGGGCCACACTTCACAAACTCAATTTGGCCATGAAACGTACACTCAGGATCGAGGTTCCAAATCAGACACGCAGCAGACACAGACGCCGGTGAAGACAGCTCGCGCTAAAATGGTTTCTGTCCGAGTGCCTTTCTGAGAGAACATGCCTTGCTACAGTCCCCCTCCCCCCCCCGAAACCTTAAAAAAACGAAATACACGGGCCGCCTACCCCCCACCCCCCCCCCCCACAAGGGGGGGGCACTCTTGTATAACTTTTGGCATTGAAGTTCGCAGGGGCATTGGGCACTCCGTGGCAAACCCAGTGCAACGAAGCTATGCCTTGGAGTGGGAAACAGTTCAGGACGCTGCACTGTGTACCTGCAGGCCATCCCAAAAATACCCTCAAAGCTGTTGCTGCATCCTCGGCCATTTCAAAATGAGTGCAGATTACCGTTGCAGATCCAGAAGCTTGCCAGACCTATGGAGCTTGTATTCAAGAGAAAGGAAATTGGAAGAATTTGGAGCTTGCAGTTCGACTGAAGTCGAGTCTAAAGTGTGTGTGTGTGTGTGTTTTGTGGTGGTACGTGTTGTGATTGGTGTGAGGTGTGGCACGTCATGTTGTCAGCTGAACCGCCCACGCCCCTGTGTGTGCACATCCACATAGTTCAGTTCTCATGCTGTCCAAGGAATGATTTGTGCATGCGACGACAATCATTATGGAGCTGGTGAGCTCGAGATTTTGCAGCATGGCCTGCGCATCTGCACGTCTTTCATGCGCAGCCACCAACCAATGTAAAGCAAAAGGCACTCGCAATGTCATGGCTCATGAGCCTGTGCAAACATGTGCGACTCGAAGACTTTGCGCAACCTGAACACACCGGATAGGCGACACATGCCGGAGATTGCTGCTTGTGCCATGTCCTGACGCTTGGCACATTGTGGAGGAGACATTCCAAAGATCGTCGTTCCGGCGCCTTCTGACACGATCTCAGGCCAAGCCCCTAAACCCAAATCTTAAACCACGAACCACGACTCTTCCCTGCGGAGTGGTCCCAGAGTGGGCTAGCTACTGTAGGCGGGGAAAACCCGCCTCCAGGCCCGGTCTACGTTGGCTCCAAATCGGCAACTTGAAGGTGATTGCCTCTCGGCCTTAATTCTGAAGTTCTGTGTGTTATTCCCCACTATTCGTGTGTAGGCTTGCTAGATGCTCCGCAACTTTCTCTCTCGAGTGGGTCAAGTTGTAGTTGCTTCTCGGGTTGGTGCATCTGCTGTTGGAGCGCCAAACCCCCCGCGGTATCCAGCAGAGCCCCGGCGAATTTTGCATAGCGTCCTGAACAAATCCGGCGCAGAGCCCCGCAGATTGACGCTGCCAGACACCAGCGTGCCCGGAAATTCTGCAGACTCCCCGGTGAGAGAGAATCCCTGGAAAGCCCCCCCCCCCCCCCCCCCGACAGAATCCTGCCGAGCCCCATTATAGCTTGACGGTGGTTTTGCATGTTGTGCAGCAGCAAAGGTGCTGGTGGAGATTCATTACATCTTGCCGGTATGACGAGGGGCAAATTATGATAGATGTTGTTGTTGCAAAGATGACAAATCAGTGCATTGATGCATTGAACCGCCATGAGTAACAACCTACAGCATGTTTCCATATCCTCTGATGCAAGCATGCACTTTTCCACGCTTGCTCCATGTTTTCTCTACTCTAAGGAATGATTGCGTGGAATGGTGCGTGGTGGGGTCCCGCTTGCTTTGGCATGATGCCACGCGGCTTTCCACTCGGGTTGGTGCAAAGCATCCTGGCGTCCAGGTGGACTCCAGGGAGGGGCTGTTGCGGAGGCGGAGGCTCGGAGGCGGAATGGTGTCGATTTGGCGGTTGGCACTCTGTAGAGCCAACGGAGCGAGAGAGCCCATGATCAGAACAAGCTGACCAGCCACGTCGGCTTTTGGGCAGGTTAGTCTTCGACATCTCAGACCTTGCGCCTGTTGTCCAGAATGCCCAGCTGCCTTGCCGCCCGCGCAAGCACGAGTCTATGGAGTGGCTGTCGTCATCAGCATGTAAATGTAGTGCTCCCGTCAGCACGTGCGAAAGCACCGGAGGTTGCCAAACAGCCGCTTCGTTATTTACGGCACTTTCCATGTTGTGCCATGCCCAAAAAAATTGCAGAACCATAGTGGCATCTCAAGCCGAGTAATGGCATTGGGATGCACGGGGCTGACGCGAACCTCAAGAAACCTAAGAGCTCCGGCTCGCGTGGCAAAACAAGTGCCAAAGCATGCGAGACGCAGCCAAAGCGCACCAATGCGCAGCGGCGTTGGAAGCCTCGTTGCACGGTCAAGCGTTGCGGGCGCTTAGAATGGGCCAAAGTGGACCCTGGATGAGGGCCATTCTCCTGCGCATCGGCGTGCCCCCAGTCGCAGGATCGTGCGACACTGCGCTGTGCGTGCTGAAGCACAGTCAGCAGGCGTCAGCAAGCCCCCAGGCCAGAATGTCCGCAGCTGCGCCCCGAGCAGGGCCAGTAGCTCTCCCAGGACTCCCAGGCTGGGTCAGTGCAAGATGATGCATCATGCAAGTCGGAGCGCGAAGGCGTGGTCCAGGAGGCCGAGGATGCACAACCTCTGCTGTCAGACTCTCGTTGCGAGATACACCGGCTGTCGTTGCAGGGATGTGCCAGCACATGTTGGGCATCCAGGGGTGTCAACCCTTTGCTGAGTGATTGCCAATATGTACATTACGGCAAGCACGAACGTGCGCCGAGCGGGAGGAATGCTTCATCCTGCCAAAAGCTGTCCATGGTAGCTTTTGAGCATCTGCCTTGCTGCGTGTGTTCACCGCCTGCGAGACTGCAGACAGTCTGGAGCCCTCGCTGTGAGCGGAAACAGCTGGCATTGATTCATATTGATTTCTTTTCCAGCCCTCCTAAGCAACACCTGCGTTGTAGTCATGCCAGCTCTGATGTGCCGGCTTGGTGCTGATATCCCCTCCGACGATAGCCCTACTGTCGAGAGCTGCCCCTGCGAGCGACGGGCAGGGAATGCACCAGGATTCACGTATTGCAGAGGCATGACTGAGTGCACGTGCATGATCCGCTCTTGTTGCCAAGCCACATGCATTTGACGGGCTGCAGTTGCAAGGGTTTACAGCGGCAGTGACGGTGTGTGCATTCACGGCTTGGCAGTGGCAGTTCATTGACTTTGCGTATGCGTCACGCCCGAACCATCGTCAAGGGGGCTCGTTCTGGTCGTCAAATCGCGAGTCAAAGAAGAGTTTTTGAGCTGCGTCGGAGCAAGGGCAGGCGCAAGCGTGAGAAAAGAGCAGGATCTGCATACCCATCATGTGCTTCCTCCCGTCGCCAGCATCACGGCGCTGTGCACCCTTCTGCTATTCGTCCGTTCATCCGCACGGCCCCTTGCGCAGGATCGTGCGGCGCCGTGCGTCGGCACTCGGCAAGCCCAAAGCCCGCAGGCTAGAATGTCCGCAGTGCCATTGCGTGATACTGCACGTGCAGTGCCAGCAGCTCCCAGGCTGGTCAGCGCAAGATGCGCCAGGCAAGTCGGAGGGCGAACAGACAAGACCTACTGCAACTTTCTCACAGTCTTGAATGGTTTCTCAGACCCGGTGTTGTCGGATAGAGTCGTGCAGTCCGTAGTGCTGCTCCTCTGTTGATGTGCTGACGGTGCGGAACCCAGACCCGCAAGCTGCTCCGGGGAAGACAGGATGTGGAGCTCGCGCAAGGCTGCACGTGGTTCCGCGAAGTCAGTAAGTCCCGCATGCCGCTAGGCAGCCTCTTGGAGGAGCAGGCAAAAGAACACAACTTTACATGGTGTCAAGCTGCGATTGAGCATGACATCACGTCAATGTCAGAATCATTCTAAACATCGACGGTTTTACCAATCATTTTTGTGTGGTTCCGTATCTAGCTTAGGGCAAAGGGTTCTGCATGTCAAGCCCATGCAGTAAACGCAAATGATTGGCACCGCCACGAAAAGATACCCTTTCATTGGTCCGTGAAGTTACATGTATAGCAACCTCATTGCTGCAAACCAGCACAAATAGAGCTTCACCCAAGACGCACATTAAGCAAATCAACTACCCGATCCGGCGGCACGTTTCAGAACCCAGACCCGCAAGAACACCCCTTCCAGATATTGCCTAACGGGGGCCAGATACCCGGGGTTCGCTAGGCATTCAAATGCCCACCTTGCCGGCCGTTCTTCGACTGGAGGATTTATGTTGTACTTCTCTCTGAAATTGGGGTCCAGAAGCCAGAGCATGTTTTCACGTGCCCTCGATGCCGGTACTGCTATGCACTAAGACGTGCCCCAGCCCAAGGCGTAGCAAAGCCCGCGTGCCCTTCGAAGCTGGGGGACTCAACTTAGGGCTTGTTGTGGGGCGCCGAAAGCACGTGCCCTTCCTATCTGACTCCTTCGCCAATTTATTTGTGTCGTAGCAAGCCGGATGCACACACGGAGGAGTGAAGGGTCATGTGTGCACATGTGTGCTTGCGCCGTCGCGAGTTGGTGCCTTCGGAGCCCCGGGAGGCCGGGTTGAGAGGTGCAGGTTGGACATGCGGAGGCCAGAATTGAAGGTTGGGTTGCTGACACAGATTCGTGGAAGAGGGTCTCGGTCGCACTGATCGCCGGGGATCAAATCCGTCCCTCCGCAAAACGCCCGACACTTAGTAAAGAGTCCCCATCCGCTTGCATTGGCGGGATGTCCGTTGCCCAGGCCACAGGAACATGCAGGCACGCACAAAACTTCGCATTCCTGACTGCTTGCCTCGAACCTGGGCGCACTTGGGGTTTGCCATTCAGTGTTGTGCCTTTTGCCACATTGAGCGCCTTGTCAGAATGCCGCGCGCCAAGGCAGTGTTTCGCCTTCTCACACTTGTGCCTGAACACCCTTTTTAAAAAGGGGGTTGTTACACCCAAGATTAAACGGGGGGGCTCAGGCAGGAAGATTTATCCTGAGCCGGGGTTTTATCCAGAGTGTTTCTGTCATGACCTGCTGGGGATTTATCTAGCCCGCGCGGGGTTAGAGACTGAGGATCATCGTGGTATGATTTGTCTGACAACAACAGTTTGCATTGAAGGTCGAGCCCGGGAATTTATCCGGCTCAAGTTTGACATTCTTGACAGCTGGGGTGTGGAGTCAAAAAGAAGACCGGTCATTGGCAGGGGTCGATCCCTGGGGTTTTATCCCATTAATGTGCTCTCCGACTTGTCCCCCGATGACAGCGTGGATTTGATCCGAACATATCCAAATAGGACATGCCAGCGGCCTCAGGCCAACAACGAAAAAAGACGACATTACCCTCAGGCCCGTCGGGATTTATCTAGATAAATCCCTGCCTGACCCCGCTTGTCGTCACAACCCCCCATTTCCCAAGTATCCTGAAAACAGTGGACCCCAGGTCAGTAGTGTTAGGCATTCCCACGCCCAGAAAACCTGCCGGAGGGGTGATCCCGCAAGCTGCTCCGGCGCTTTCCATCTGCCTTTTCTGTTCTCGCACCGCCCTCAGAAGTGTGGGTGTGGCATATAGTTTGGGCATACATCACAGTACTACTGGGGCAATTTTAGTCGGACACCCGCCACTATATTTTCCATTTGCCATGGTTTAGCACCACTTTTATCAATGTGGTGCAGTTTTTGGGTTAGCTCACTAAATCACCACAACAAGTTCGATTGTCAACATATTCGGAGGCTGCGCGAATTCCGTGTTTTTCAACGACAGATAAGAACTTTCGCAAGAGGTGTTTAAGGTACTTGCCGCAACTTGCCTGAAAAGGCGCACGGCCCTTCCGCACGGTCGGCAGATGTTGGCAAGCCCGCACGCCAGAATGTCCGCAGTTCCAGGGCGCTGCTCGCACGGGCCTGCAGCCCTTGGGCTGGTCAGCGCAAGATGCAACACGCAAGTTGGAGAGCGAGCATACCTGCTGCAACTTTCCCACAAGCAGGTCCGCCGACAGTGTCTGAAGATATTCAATTCGTGGGGTTCAAGGCTGCGCCGTTCATGCTTGAGGGATGCGGCACTTTCCCCTGTCACAATCGGTGAATCTGCTCCGCCGCCTTGTTTTTTTTAGCTGTGCGCCGTGCGCCAGTCGGCGCATGGGCGGGCACAAGCATGCAAAAATGCCATGACTTGCATGCCCTTGACGTCACAGAGATTGAAACGGGCTTGAGAGACTGCGATGCAAATGCTTGTCAGACATGTGCTTGTGCTTGCTTCCTCCCATCGCCAGCGTCGCCGAGCTTTGCACCCGACGGCTCGTCTCCCGTTCATTGGCACGGCCCCTGGCGAAGGATCGCGTGACGTGGCGCTGTGTGTCAGCACGGTCTGCAGACGTCGGCAAGCCCGCGGGCCAGAATGTCCAAGGTCCACCGACAGGGAAGATGTTGAATTCATGGGGGTTCTGGCCGTACTGTTCATGCCTGAGGGATGCGGGGCTCTCCGCTTTCGGTGAGACTGCTCACTGTTCGGCGGTCGGCGTGAGCGGCAATAGAAGCCGGCACGTTCTTTGCCTTTCATCTCCAGGTCTGAAAGGAAGATCCCCGATAGCACTTGCCATGGTCTAGCACCAGCCCTAGAGAAGAATTTCCGCAAGAGGGGCGCTTTCTCGTGGCCCAGACCCACCTTTTCGACTACAAACGGGGGGCCTGGGCCAATTCCAGGCCCTCGTCACACCCGAGGCCGAATTTTGGGCCCGTGGCGTTTCTTGTGCCTTCTCTTGTCCAGCAAGGCCTGTGCAAGGTCCACTCTCAGTCCCGTGGAGATGCCCCTTTAGTCCATAGGCTGCTGTGTCAGCAGCTTCTCACGCGCGTTGCTCCGCCAACGAGCGACAAAAGTCCTGCGATGAATCCGCGACAGTTTCTGGAGGGCCCCCGAGAAAGAAGGCTGACTTGTCTGACTTCTTGGCCTGCATGGCGCGAGGCAGCATTGAAATGAGGGCCGGTAATGCATGCCGCCGCGTTCACGATAAGGTTTTCTGCCTGGCCTGTGGACCCCCCGGCCACCACCAACGCGAAGCTGGCAGCGCCGGTTCCTGCTTAGGGCTGCTAGGCCCACGCCTAATAATGCACAATGGACCCCCCCCATACTTAGTCTGTGACATTATCTTTTTTGGGCCCGGGGCCCCCGAAGATAGTTTCGAGGGCCATTCATTTTACATTTCTGGCTTGGTTTCCAAGCATCTGAAGAAACAAAGAAAACACGGCACCTGACCTGAAGCCATTCATATTCAGCCGAGAGAGAGTGGGGAGAGCAGACTGAGAGCAGACTGAGAGCAGGGAGAGTGCAGGGAGAGTGCAGGGAGAGTGTAGGGGGAGTGTAGGGGGAGTGAAGAAAGTGACCACCTTGGATTCAACACTGATTTCATCCTTCCTCTTGTGGTTAGCCCCCCCCTTCGTTTTGCATTTTTTCGGGTGGTTCGGGGAACCCGGAAATTTAAAATCGAGGCCCCCCCCCATGCAAAGTGGGGCGTCGGGGTGGGCTGCTAGGGCCTCTCATGGCCAACTTAGATATCTCCGATGACCCTGTAGCTCGAGCCAGCTCAAGCAGCGCCACTGCTGCTGCGGCTTCGCCAAGCTCTCAGATCATGCACAGGCAGGCATGGTCTCTGTATCGTCACTGCGCTATCTCTGCGCGATCATCCCCTTCCAACTGCGAGCTCAACACAAGGACTCGTCTTCGCGGCGTAACGGCAGACTCTGTACAAGAAACCTATATGAAGGGCAAGCTGTCACGAGGGCCATGCTGCCCCTCGAGGCATTTCTCCGCCGGCATCGACCGGGGCAAAGCTCCGTCCGTGAGAGGTATCCTAGGGGAATAAAACTTAGCACAACTTGCGCGAAACATGTCTTGTCCAGCAGTCTTACTGGAAGAAAAAAAGGTTTTGCAGCATTGGAATTGAAGGCCTGTATCGGTCTCCAACAACAACCATTGCTCCATGCGCCATCTGCTCACCGTTGCACCGCCAGCCAACCCAGGAACCCTGCTACAATCCTAGGTCCTATCTGTTCCAGAAGGGATCGGACGAAAGCTTGGATAGGCGCATCTTCAGGGTCATTTGGAGCTGTCTAAGAGGCCATGAGAGGCCCTAGCGGCCCTAAGCAGGTGATACGGTGACCTCTTGTGGACAGCCCTTAAAGCCGCGCGCCCTTTGGCGAACGCCTCTACATGCTGGACCAGTCTCAACTTAGATGGGCTTGTAGTGGCCCGCGAGAAGCACGTGCCCTTGCTTCCTGACTCATTCGCCAATTTGTTGCACAGCAGGTTGCATGCGCGGAACGACGAGTGAAGTGCCATGTGTGCTTGCGCTGTCGGGAGCTGAGGATTCAAGGGCTGCTTGCACTGTCCGTGGGTGGCCGATGGAGGGTGCAGGTTGCTCACGCATATTCATTGAAGCGGGTCTCAGTACCTCTGTTCGCCGCGAGTCAAGTCCATCCCCCTGCACAACACCCGACACCTAGAGTAAGCAGTCCGCACCCGCCTACATTATCCTACATCGGTGTGACTGTCCGTCCCTCCTCTCGAGGTTGGTCCCTGGCTCCTGTCCCACCTGAGTTGCACCTTGAGCTCGCGGGGCTGAGGAAAGTTGGGAAGCTGTAAGGAGCTTCTTGAAGAACCCTCCCACTTGGACGAAAGATGAACATCAGTGAGGCCAACATGCCGTCCGCAAGGGACAAAACATGCTGAGTGCCGCAATCACGTGGCTGCGTGCCCGCGATTGCTTTTGCATGGTGGCCCGCCCTTCCGGTCAAGAACGCTCACGAGCGATGCGCGAAAAAGACTCAGGCCTGTAGTGTTCTTTCTCCTCAGCCATCCCGACGTGAGCTTCAAAGCGTGCTGGGCTAAAAAGAATGAGGCCAACGGCGTGTGGGTCCCTCTTCAAGCGCTGCAGCTTGGATGGGGGACCTGCCGCCTGGGCAGTGTCTCGGTGCTTTCTCGGTGCTTTTCAAGAGCGGGGGTCCCTTGGGATGGCGGGACCTCAGCAGGCAGGGTGCTCGCTGCTTTGGGTTGCATCTCATCTTAGACTCCGTTTCGGGGTGACTGCTCCTCTCCTCCCCGGACCCCAAGCAACCCATGCACCTCAGCACCCCGCAACACAATGCGTTTCGGTTGTGCTCGAACCGATCATCCTGCCTCCGACAGGATACCTGTCATGCTGCCTTCTCCCCGTGCATAGCAGGAGCATGGAGTACGCTGCGTTTGCGGAAAAGTTTGTTGTGGGCCTTTCGGGTTGGGTCGGGGGAGGGCAGGTCCGAACGTCCCCCCCTCACATCCCCCGCTCGCTGGATGTCGTGAGAGGCCAGTGAGGCCAGTGACAGCATGCTATGCGATGTCAAGGGACGGTGAGGCTCAGAGCAGCCCCCGAGCGCACCAGCATCATTCACACAGAACCTAAGTGTGCCGCGATGGCGCGGCTGCGTTCCCGTGCTTTTGCTTCTGCAAGTGGCCCGCCCCCTGCTTTCAAAGGTGTGAAGATCGTTGATGAGCGATGCCCATCGCTGCGAGGCGTCGATTCTCCGATTTTTTTTGCCAGTTTGCAGCAGGTGGTCTGACTCTTAATAGCCGCCGTGCGCACTGCCAGAGCTTCGAAAAGTGGCACAGACCTTCTGCCGGCCTTCCTGGATGGGGTTCCTAAGCCACGTCGGCGTGCCACTTCGCACTGTTCCCGCTGCACCGGGTTTTCTCCCAACGTGGTTTTTCCCTGTGCCCATCTCATCGCGCATTGCAGCGCGGGAGTGTCGGCCTGTATCGGTAGCTAGGATTCGCACCGCTCTCAGCGCAGCTGATGCGCTTGGTTGCTCTTGTGTAGTCAGGGGTGCTCTTCCAATCCTGAGTTGCGCTGGGAGCCGTAGAGTGCATGCAGCTAGACACGTGTTCGGCTTCGTTTCTGAGTCGCTGGGTGTGCCAAGCGCACGCAAAGAAAGGAATGAAGTGCTTGCACGGTGCGGTCCTTCCAACCACGTTCTGGCCAGGCCATGAGTCCAGTGAGGCATGTGTCCTAATGCAGGCCCAGGTCTGTTCTGGTTTCTGCCTCTGCAAGACCTGGGAGTTGACTCGAAGCTGCCGCAGGATCCGCAGGGAAGGACGAAACTCGCATGGCTTGCATGGCTCAAGTTTGCTGCAGAGTTCTCAAGCAGGCGGTCTCGGACACCCTCTTTCAAGTTTCGGCTCCTCTTGCCAGTGGGAGACCGGGGCTTGGTTTCGCCACGAGCTGCCAACGTTCAGCTGTGCGCATCCGTTGTTCAGCTTGTGTTTGCTCCGCCCTCTGCTTTTGCAGCACCCGTTCCGTGGGGTCTTCAGCTGTGCAGGCACGCAAGATCGCGGCCGCTTCCCTGCTCGGGCCCTGGCGCGCCATTCTGAGAGTGTCTGCTTGAGTACCTGGGCGCCTGCCGCTCGGTGGAGAACTTGAGCCGTGCGCTGATGGATCTTTATCGTCTGATCTGCCTTCTGCGGTCGGCAACGATATAAGCAGTGCCAGAACCCCTTATAGCCATTCACGTAAGCCATGGACACGAATGCCCAAAGCCCTGTAAAGCGATGGGCACACCTGAAGAGCGACACCCCTAAGTTCATGAAACGTTGTGGTGGGCGATAACCTGACTTTTTCCCGAAGCGACAGCTTCAGACATGAAGCGTGGATAACTGATGCAAAAAAGCCTCTAAAACCTGGACCTATAATTCTATGGGAACACTTGAAAAGTGACGCCCCTCATTGTGCGTCCATCAGCACCGCCACCCGGTTTTGGCAGTCGCTGATAGGCCTTCGCTGCTACGGCGCCTGCATTCCATTCGAAGGTGGGAGGCTGAACTTGCTCGAATCCGTGCGTGGGTACTTTTGGTGGGAACCTGAAGCAGCGCCATACGATGCCAGCTCTACAAGAATCTCAACTACTTGCTAAAATCTCCATCAACTTTCGGCCTGAAAGTCGGCACATGCGCTCGCCTGAGCTGCACGCCCGGGTCGCGCCTTTTCGCACGTGGTGCCTTAGCACGCCTCCCAAGTAGAGTGGTCCCCTCCCCATACTCCCCGAAATAGGCGGCCGCCTATAATTCGAGGAGTCCACTGATGTCGTGAGACGAGCTACTATTGCTCTTGGAGCTGCAGTCTTCATCCCACGGCAATGTTCTGCGGCTCCTGGAAGGCCAGACGCCCGGCGATCCCCTTCGCGCGCCGTGCTGTCGGGAAGCTCTTTTCTAGCAGTAGCGATTCGCCCTGGGCTAAAGGGAAGCCCTCCCGGCAATTCTCCAGTCATCGGGACCTTGTCTGTGAAATCCAAGGCAGATCTCTTGCCTGGCAACTCCGTAGACTCAAAGTGATCTGTGGATGAGACCTTGCCAGGCTCACTTCTCGAAATTTCCCCCGCGACCACACATCTAAAGACCAGCCTGAAGCTAGCCAGACGGGTGCTGAGGGTACCTCGGGCTCATGGAGATGCTCACATGGCCTGGCTTGCGAGCCGTTGAGGGTTTCGAGTCTTTCCGGGCACTCATCTGGAACAACCGGATCAAGGGGGGTGGAGGACTCGGGTTGCTTGGAGTGATACCGTAGCCGAAAGATGAGAGGGCTCGAAGAAGACGAAGAAAAAGACGAAGGCCAAAACGCAGTTAAATCTGGCGCCTCCTTCCGCGCGCTCCTGGCAGCTGCCCATGCCACGTGCTCAACATGTACTGAACGGAAGTGACGCACAGCGCGAACCTTCACAGAGCGTACCTGTGCCGTACGTCCGAGGACAGTCGGCAAGGAGCCAGCAGATGGGAGGATTGCGACGGGTCTGCACCGCAGCTCACATGGAGCATGAAACTGCCGAAGCTGCCGAAGCTGCGCTAGGGCCGGCGGCGTGGGTGGGACTCTATGCACGGACCATGCGGTCTTGCGACATGGAAAGCTTTCTGCTTCCGGCTTCTGTCCATCGGCGGTGTCTTGCAGCGGCCTGTGGAAGAAAGCGGAAAAGTCCCATAACAGAGTCCACAAAGTAACGTGGAAGGCAACGTAACGGAACCGGACGAGGCAAACAGGCAAGAGAGCGGCGTGCGCTTCTTTCAGCCTTTCACGAGCCTCCCAGTGGTCCACCCAGAATGGGAACGAGTCGCAACCCCCACAGCTCGTCAGGGTACCGGGAAGCCTGTCTTGAAGACATGGTCCATGATCAATGGCCTGGCAGATCCGATAGCTGGCCGCTGGTCAGCATTGTGCTTTGTGCTTATGGGTTGTCCGGAGGGTAGGTAGCCCGCGGTCGGTGACAAAACCTTTAAGGGCCCCTCGATCGAAAGGAGGAACAATAATCAAAAAGAAGGCCAACCCTTCGGCCAAAATGTGGAAGAGTTAGGGGAGGCAATGCAAAGTTTCAAAAACCGAAAATCCGCCAGAGTTCTTCCAAAGAAACCGTTCAAAGCTTCGAGCCGTTGGGTTGAATACTTAAACTCTTGCCCACGAACCTTGGGATTTGCTATCAAGGTTAGGAGATGCTATCGTGGTAGGGTTGCTCGTCACCATTACAGCCCGCTTGCGACGAGAATCGCTGGCACGGCCGATGTCAATTAGTCTTTGGGCTGCTATAGACCAGTTAACCCTAAGCTATCGTTAAGTTAAATCCCAAGTGCAAAGAGGCATGGCTTGTCGCGCACAGGCTATATGGGCTGTGCAGGCCGAGTGGGATGGTTCATGTTGGACGTTCTGTCTCTTCGCCGGCTTCCCTTCTGGCCTTCAGCCTCGCCTCTCCCCCCTACTGCCCCAGCCTCCAGAGAAGGCCTCTGGTCAAATGCACGCGCCCTGCCTTCAGAGTCAGAGCCAAACCATGTAAACAAGCTTACAGGCAGGCGCGACCTGGCAAGCGCCTCGCAAGCGCTTGGGCTTTGAGTCGGTGCACATGCTGCTAGGTGCGTGCACGGGGATCAGTCTCATCACCGACAAGACATTCCCTGGTGGCAGTCGATTCTCTTGATGCTTCGGATACTCTGTTACTACTCAATTCCGCCAAGCAGCTCCCGTCACTCGATGGCTCTGTGCCACCCTAGCCACTGACTCTAGACTGAAGATCTGTGTTTCTGGGAGAAGTGCTCCAGGCCCCAGGCTTTGTGAATCTGCAGCGAAGCCGTTTCACCTGCATTTTCACCAAAGCTGTCAGTCCCATGTGTGTGATCATAAGCAGACATCTCGCTCAGACGCAGCGTGATTGTTTCTTGGTTGGTTTTGTGCTTCAGGACTCTGTTGTTCTGCAAGCTCCGCAAGATTCTCCTGCCCGAGCCTACGTCGCATCAGCAGCTGCAGGGTCTGCAGCTGCGCGCGTGCTTGCGTTGTTCGGTGGGGCTGGTGCATCTTTTGTTGCCAGCCCACGAAGCTTCTGTGAGTGGAGCCGAGGCTCGCAGGGTTTGCGTTCTGCCGCCATTCAAAGCATCAGGCACGACCTTTTTCCTGCATCAACCATAGGGCTCAGTTTGGACGCAGCAGTTTGCGGATACTTTGTGCACCAACAATCATGGCTGCACCAGGAGGCGTCAGCTGTGAGCCGGCTGCGCACTCCGACATCGTTAGAAGGTCCTTGCTGCCAGCATGAGGTCCGTGGAGCCTGCGGCTACGAGGCGCTGCCGATGCCCCCGGTGGCGCGGAGTTGCGAGCTCGACTTGCCGTGCGACTCCGACATGAGTCGCACGTGAGATTCCGTGAGATGCTTTCATGTTGTCAAATGTGGCAGCCCTCTGAATGCCTTTGCCGTGTGCCTGGACAGGGCATGTGCTTGGGACCGTAGCAGCCCCCTACAGAGCTTCGACTCACGCTCACTGGCGATGGCCAAGTGACCGCTCAAGTCCCACCAAACGAAGCCTTGGCACTGCCTCGATGTGCCACTGATCGGAGTGATCTGGCTGCTGGCAGCTCCGTGGGCTTCTTGCCCGCGTGCAAGCCGGGCCTGTGAGTTCGGTGGAATCTTTGTGTGTGAGCCTCGGCAAGAAGGCTCCCGCAATCCAGGCACTGTGTAGACCATGCCAGAGAATCTCGCAACTTTCGACATCTGCGACCCAAAAGGCCCGAAAGCAGAGGCTTCCGAGCACGTGCGCTTCTCCGGGCTTGTTCCTGCACCTTTCTGCATGGTGCCGGAGGCGGCACTCGGCTGGCCCTGCCGCAGACGGACGTGTCCATTTGCTGACACGCGGGCTTGGCGACCTGGTTATTCGCCCGGGCGCTGAGCCAAGCTGATGCTGAAAAGTCCCATCGCGGCACCGCATCAATCGCACCATCAGCATCGCGTCACGCAGGTGCTACGGGGGAAGCGGGCCTCGTGGTTGCGGCTTGCCAGTGGACCGCAAGCCTCGCGAGCCGAATGTCTGCTACCGCCAGCTTCGAAAGCCGGCGAAGGCTCCAAAGAATTTCACGAGTCTTTCAGCGCAAGGCCTCCAGCACAGCAGGCACGCCCGCTGCGTTCCTTGGCGCGCCTTGGCCGTGCCACTCGACAAGTTCCGCGTGCTATGCACGCATCCCAGGCGCGCAGGTTGAGCAGGTGATCCTACGGTGCCGCAAAAACTGCGGCCCCACAGTCTGCTCGGCATAGCTGGCGGGTATGTTCCATGTGCGATATGTGTTGGAGTGAGTGCCGGCCACCCAGTCCACACCGTGGGACGTGGGCAGCTCCCAGTCGCTCGCCTTGGCTTAGGCCTAGGCAGTGCTTAGGTTAGGCTTAGGCATTGCCCCCGCAGCTTTGCGTAAACCGGCCTCGTCCTACTACGCAGTTCGCAGAAGAAGATCCTTGTGGAGAGGCGTAGTGCGCCCCTGCTTCACCTTTCCTGCGGCCTGCACACGGCCGCCTCGTGCAGGTGGCCTGCGCCTTGGATTGCCCGATAGAGTCGAGCGGTGGACTCCACCTGTGACTCGACTCGGGCAGCTTGCGCGAGCGTCGCCGCGCTCTTTTCCAGGTGCCTCGTGTGCTGCTCACGCAAGGGCTCGCAAAAGGTGCTTGTTATAAAGCCCTTTCGAAAGCGTGCTCACACATGCCATGCGGGCCGTCCAGATTGCCGGGTGATGCGCAACCTTGGCATTCACGGATGGTCTTGCGGCGAGGGCCGCCGCGCCAGCCTCCGTGCGGGCGTCCAGAGGCTTCCGGATCCTACCGTAGCTGCAGTAGCCTGGCCCTGCTGTCTCATCTGCTCTCCGTGCTTGCGCTGCAGGCGCTGCGGGCGCTACGGGCGCTGCCCGCGGTGACCCAGCGACGGGCTCGGAGGCGCCCGTGTTTTCCGCTCGGCGCATGCCCGGCATGCCACATCATGCGTTCTCATATGTTCCCATCAAAACTGGGCAAAAACGGCTTGCCTCAGTAGCAAGCAACGGGTTTTGCCACGTTTCGCACGAGCTCGCGCAAGCTAACTTTCAGGAACTTGGCAGTTTCCGCGTAAGCAACGCCGCGTAAGCTCCCGCCCAGCAAAACCGACGTGCCGGCGAATCTCCGGAGTTTCCGAAAAGAGTCTACGATGGGTTTTTGAAGGGACCTCACATAAACAGACATAACATGAGGCGCTGCCTGAAGAGAGAGAGACGCATGGAGAGTGCACTACATAACTAGTGGTGAGAGCGAGTGTACCTGCCTCTGGCGAGGAGCTTGCCTTCAAGCCTTCAAGCTTCTCAGGTTGTCATTGATGAGATGCCCCTTGTGCAGTGGTGTGTCGGACCTCGGATGTTGGTGCGTTAATGGCTTGAGGGGGCTCAGTTGAAACCGAGGCTGCGAAGCGCACGCTTGCTTTCTTGCACTTCACATCGCCCGCTTTGCCTGAGAGTGAGGCTCCGGAAGCTCCGCGTGCGCCACGGTCGGTACTCGGCGTGCAACGCTGGGCTTGCTGTGACCTTCTGGTGAAGTGCTGTCGCTGAGGATCCACATCGGCTGCTGTGGATGGCACGTTTGCCTTGCAGGTAGGCTGCTCTGTCAGCACCCCGGCTCCCAGACAAAGCAAAGGTCTCGCTTCCCGTACGCAACGGTACAGCTTCCAGCGTGATGAGGAGGTCTCGGCATCTAACAAAAACCAGCTGTGGTTTCCGGATGCCCTTTGCTGCACCGCCTCACTTCGCGCGTGCCTATGTATAGGCTCCAGCTCAGGTGACCTCGGTCGGTTGGCTGTTTGAGGAAGCAGGGCGTTCTCAACAGGTCTTCGGTCATTCTAACGAGAAGCATGTCACACCTCAGCACCACCTCACCGGACGACAGCTCCTGATGCTTACACAGGAGAGAAGGTGGAAGAGGTGCGTGCCGCGGTGCACCACAGAAAGCGATTTTGCCGGGACGCCATAAGTCAACTGAGGCTTCATTCCAGGCATACCACGCCACCAGCCTTCGGCTCTTCGTGCCGTGGTTGTTTTCTTGCTGCGCCCGCTGTTCCGGCGGCCCGAGACAGAGCAGCCCGGTTTGGCGCTATGTTTCGTCAGCCGGCAAACGATGGCCAGCTTGCATCACATGCCATCGACAAGATTCAGGACACGGCATGCCAGTGTGGCGAGCACTGCCGAAGCCAAGAACACAGCAGCATTCGCGCAAGCAATGTGGCGAGCATGCGACATGCAAGGTTTTCGTGCCCTATGTTCGCAGTGTGCCCTACCGTTGCCAACGTTGCGGAACTTGGATCCCCTGCCATGCGAGGCGCTTGACCTTGTGGGCCTTACAGGCACTTGCAGGCCCTGGCTGCCCAGGCTCGAGCAAGGCTGGGGCGCAGCTCAGGGCGCTTTCGGGCTGGAGGAACTCGCGGTGCCGTGGGCCACAAGATGCGGCTCACACAGAAACGCCGCTGGTGCACTTTCCCTCTTAAAGTCACTCGCCTGGACGCACTCAAGGGCGGTTGCAGCGTCACCAGTGCTTGCCCTGCCTTCCGTCTCGAGCTATTTCCAGCCTCCCCTTGTGGCGGCCCTGCCGGCCGCCATTTTATCTCACCGATGCTCAACTCAGATAGGGCTTGCTGTCAGACCTCGTCGTGAGCCCTGGCAAGCGGCAAGGCTGGTGGCAATCCGGCTAACCAGCGCTATTGAGGCGTGCAAAAGGGAAACCAGGCAGAGCAGTTGTTGTTGCTAGGATTATCAGGATCGCATCAAGAGTCTTTTTCGCATGGAACTTCAGCGCGCATTGCGAGGACGGTTTATGGTGTGAAGATGAAACTGCAGCCTAGGATGTCTTGTCAAGCATGGGGTGCCTGGTTCTCCGAAGGGCTGGCCGAACCTTATCATTGAGGGAAATGTGGAAGACGCGAAGAGCTGGAAAGGCCTCTGAAATTAGATCAAGCGACCCGTTGTTCAATAACCCGCTGTCGATGCAAACACAAACAACAGCAAGCGTTAAACAACAATGACGTGTAAATGACCCAAGTAAAGATGTCAAGGTATGCTCATTTTGGCATACCTTTTCTCGTAATGATAGTTCTTCCTGCAGAGGAAATCTATGTTTGATTCTGATACCGAATGAGATTCTTAGGTTTGCCCTGAATTTATCATGATGCTGAACGATTCCATTGGTTAGTCTTGACACGGGCGCCTGTGCGTGCACATTGTAATCTACCCAGTGGGTTTTCCGGATGTTTTCGGCACAGGTGCGTGTGCAAGCAAGTTGCCAATACTTGAGAATTGGCTGCCCGCGCCCGCAGCTCTGTAAATTTGATGGTTGAACCGTCACACACAGCCCCACTCCAGCGCAGAGAGTTTGGAGCTTTCGTTACGCTGCAATCATACGCCAGCACTCAAGACACTTGGGTCTGCTAAAAACGGTTTTCGTGCACTGCAAAGGCCAAGGGCCACCAATACATTGTAGTCGTATAACTTGTGATACTTATGTTGTCAAGGGTTTTCAAGGGCCCTGGGGCGATGGAAGATCTGGAGTTGCGAGCGAAGCAAATTGCGTTCCGCCAATGCGGTGAAAGAGCCTTCGGCCGGTGGTGCTCCGCAAGTCTGAGCCCCTCTCCGAGTTTGAAAGGACTCTTTTCTTAGAAATATATGCCATCTGCTTTAGGTGGCGGGTGGCGGGGGGTTGGGGTTGCTCGAACAGAGGCGTGCAAAACGCATGCGGCTTTTTTGCAGGATGATGCCGAAAACGTTCCAACATATTTTTGTCGAAGCGGCTTGTGTCGAATCTGAACATGAACCTCGCATGAAAACAAGCGACTCGTATCTAGCAATCCAGTATCTACATGGACACCAGCCAACCATTCAATGGTCAGGTGCTGATGCGCTCCCGGTTAGGTGCTAATGTGCTCCCCGCAAAGTGAACAAACACCAAGTTTTACTAGCCACGGGTTACTGGGGGTTTACGGAAATAGGGACCCCTATAAGCAGACCCCAAGTAGTAGGATTCCCATAGAACAAGGACCCCAAGAAGGTAACCCAACTTCGGTAAAGCCACCATACATCTTTAGGTTGCTAATGCAGGAGGCTGGCTCACCCCCAAAAGCCCGTTTTCAGAAGACGTGAGACGAGCAGACATTGACCATCACAAGCGCAAACTTGCAAGGGTTTAGGGTTTAAGGTTCGGGGCAAAAGGGTTTAGGGATGCCCAGTTGCCAAAAAAAAGGAGAAGTATCGTCGGAAAAGAGTTGGCGACGGGGCTTAAGTAGGCTTAGGTGTAGGGCTTAGTGGCTTAGTGCTCAGGGGGTCCCAGGGTTGAGGATGCAGGCTCAGGGGGTGATAGGCATTAGTGCAATTCCTGGTGTCTGGCACGACGACGACACAAGGGACAGAAGCCACATCCCAACGATCATTCCTGTGGTCTGATCTGGGGCCTGAAACCTAGCCCAAACAATGACGACGATAGTCACTGAGCATGCTTGATGTTGTCCAGTCGCATGTCCGTCTCATCAGTTCCAGACAAGTCAAGGTCTCTGTGTGTGTGCTTTGTGTTGGTACGTGTTGCGATTGGTGTGACGTGTGGCACATCATGTTGTCAGCTGAACCGCCCACGCCCCTGGGTGTGCACATCCACATAGTTCAGTTCTCAAGCTGTCCAAAGAATCATTTGTGCATGTGACGACAATCATCTTCTGGAGCTGGTGAGCTCAAGATTTTGCAGCATGGCCTGCGCGTCTGCACATCTTTCATGCGCAGCCACCAATGTAAAACCAAAGACACTCGGAATGTCATGGCTCATGAGCCTGTGCAAACATGTGCGACTAGAAGACGTTGTGCAACCTAAACACGTGGCGGTGGCAATACATGCCGGAGACTGCAGATGGTGCCATGTCCTGATGCGTGGCCATTGTGGAGGAGAGATTCCAAAGATCGTCGTTCCAGCGCCTTCCGATACTATCCCAGGCCAAACCCGAAATCTAAACCCTAACGCACAAACCCTAAACCCTAAACCCTAAAAAAAACAGAAACCTAAACCCTTGTAAGCTCAAAACCCTTCCAGGACAACCCGCCTCCAGGGGCCCGGTCTACGTTTGCTCCACATCGGCAACTTACCTCGACGAACATCGTTGTTGCATGTTTATGAGTATCCAAACCCAAGAAGGAACAACAAGGGGGACATTTTTGAATAGTACTCCAGAATGGTGCAGCGTGCTGCTCTTCCCCATTATCAAGTGCGGGCTTGCTCCGCAACCTTTTTCTCGAATGGATCAACTTGTAGTTGCTTCTCGCCTGGGTTGATGCATCCAATCCCACATGCAGAGTAGGCTGCAGAGTGTTTTTTGCAGAGGGTCTTTAACCAGTCCGGCCCCGAATTCCCCGCAGATTGAACGCTACTGGACGCTAGAGTGCCCGCAAAGCCCGACAGAGAATGCCGCAGAGCATCCTTGGCCTTTGATCACACTGACCACACCCCACCTGCAGTGTCGTGGCCCCGCAAAAGCAACCGCCGCCAAAACAACCGCAGATTTCCCTAATGAAAATCCCTGAAAAAGCAAGGGGGACTCCACAGAATACTGCCGAGCCCCCATTAGCTTGAGGGTGGTTTTGCATGTTGTGCAGCAGCAAAGGTGTTGGTGGAGATTCAGTACAAGGGCAAATTATGATGAATGTTGTTGTTGCACAGTTGACAAATCAGTGCACTGATGCGTTGAACTGCCATGAGTATCAACCTACGGCATGTCTCCATATCCTCTGGTGCAAGCATGCAGTTTTCCACGCTTTGCTCCATGATTTCACTAAGGAATGGCGTGGAAAGGTGCGTGGTGAGGTCCCGCTTGCTTTGACATGATGCCGCGCAGCTTTCCGCTCGAGTTGGTGCAAAGCATCCTGGCGTCCAGGTGGGCTCTCGGGGGTGTTGCGGAGGCGGAGGCTGGTTGGGGCCAGAG